GCGGCGCTCAGATGGTGGCGGCAATGGCGACGACGGAGTTGCGAAGGCTAGGGTTTTTCAAGGCAAAGGCAGGGTACCAAAGAAAAGGAGGAGAAAGGCCTTTAAATAGATTTTACACCAGTAAAAATGCGGCCCACTAGGCCCGTTAAAACACGGTGTGAGAACGCAACGGTCCATTTAGTGACACAGCTAAAATGACGGAAGGCACAAATCCACACAACGGTATAGTTCAACGGGCAGATTTCAGACTTATCCATCCAGCATAACGGCAGAGTTACCATATGGCAGCAAAAAGAACTCATCAGCCATGAAGCAACAGGAGGTTACCTCACAAGGAACATAACAACCCGGATACCAGTAGAATAAAGAATGACAACTCAGAAAACAAGATTCTCTCTATTACAAATGACTTCAAAAGATACAAGATTACACATCTTACAAGACCCAACGAACTCAGAACTACGACAGGCAAGTAGCAAAAAGGAACCCGGAAACAACTAGGCTCTGGAACGACTACGTGTTCCAAATTGCTACTCGGCAGGACAAACCACCCTTGACTACACTGTTTTCTTCAAAAAGGACGGGCGCAGCGCATCCAAGGCGGAAATCAACAGCACGGTAGGACAACATGGAGCAGAGAAGGCCGGCATGCATCTGTCTACCCAAGTTTGATGTGATGTTGGATATGGTGTTGATGCACCGGACAGTCTCAGGGCAGGCGACGAGGACCAACCCAGAACTGCTAGATGAAGGATCGCATCCCACATCACAAGACTCCCTCCAACTACCGCCACGTACTTCCAAGTACAATGCTGCTGCAGGATTAGCCTACTTCTAATCCCTATCACAAGACTCCATCCAGCTACAGCAAGACACAAAACAACTGCAAAATACGCCCGGGGGCTGCTCTACTTCACAAACTACCATATTCATGACTACAGAGACTTCAGAACAAGCAACAAAACGCTCAATGAATCAAAACAGCACTCCAGGAGGGTATTTATAGACCGAAGGAGCGGTGCACATGGACCAGGAGCACCAACGAAACAAGCCTAACAAAGGACACAGTGAAAAGACAGAACTCAATAATGAAAGGGAACTTAGGCGTGAAGGAACAGTACTCAACAACAAGCATATTCGAGAGAATATACCAACACAGTACAACCCATCAACAAAAGGCATTTACACTCAATCACCACCATACAACTACACCTGACAACAGCAGACTCTACATCTGACAACAGCAGACTACCAGAGAATATGCCAAGATTCTATATCCGAGCTCTTTTTGAACAATGCTTGGGGGCTGCAACAGGGGAAGTTTTCAATTCGTTGAACAACTCAAATTCAAGACCCTCCAACTTTTGGGCTACACTCAAACGGGAATTTTCAAACAGCATAAAGATTCAAGACCCTCCAACTTTTTGTTCCAAATAGTAAGAGGCTCAGGGGCTACACTCAGTGAGTGCACTTTTTACTCAAAAAAAGCGCAAATCACTCAGAAGACTTCTTCAAGACAGACGACTTCAAGGCCACACGACGAAAAGAACCTGGAAATAGCTATATCCGAGCTCTTCTCGACAAAGAACCCGGATACACACTCAGGAGCCCTTCGACAAAGAATCAAGGCGATTTCAAGAAAAGACCCTCAACCTCCTTGTGCCAAACAGCATGAGGCTCGGGGGCTGCATCCAAATGGGAGTACTTTTTTCTTCAAAAAGGTACACACCACACGAAGATCTCATGAAGCGCTACACGGTTTCGCTCAAGAAAGCACTCGGACGACGCTTGTTCCTGCTCTACAAGACCTGAAGGAATAAGACGAGGCTTCCATAACTCAACCATGAAGTGCTCGCGGGCTCGTCGGTGCGGGACCCATGGGATACCCCGCACGAAAGGGAGAACTAGTCTAACTAGGATTCTTTTTTGTAATCTTAGTAGTAGTATTACTCTGTAATCCTACTAGGAACTCTCATTGTAAACCGACTAGGACTCTGGCCTCCTGACTATATAAAGGAGGGCAGGGCTCCTTGGATCGGGGGTTCAGAGAACAATTGTACAACACAACACTAGACAATCAATCCAATGCAAAAGGCTGACGCCGAACTGGACGTAGGCTATTACTCGATCAAAGATCGAGGGTCCGAACTAGGATAAATCAACTGTCTCTTGCGTTAACCGTCGAGTTCCGCATATGCTGAAGCCCGAACATACTGCCCCGGGGATCCCTGTGGTAGGCTATCGGTGGTCAAACATCGACAGGAGGATGCTAGTTAGTAGATTTGTTCTTGATCAGGCGTGACCTTAACTGTTTGCTATGCCTACATTGGCTAAATAGCCGATCGCCTATGCTTTAACGCCTACGGTGTGTCTCCACGATTCTATTAAATGTGAATAGATCTATGCACTTTGAAGGTTTGATTTGTTGTCTTTATCACGACTGTCATCGATCCGGTCGAACCCCACTGTTAGAGATAGCAGGTTAAGTCTGATGAGTTCATTGGTTTGTCCATGTTAAATAGTTGATTGTTCACACGTTGTAGTCCCTTTTCACCTGAATCGGCTATTTTCAGCCGATCCGTTTGAGCCTTCACACATATAGCATGTCTTTCGGAAAGCCTGTCAATGTATAGATGGTTTTACAGATTCTTTGGTTTTAGTTCGTTAGCATCATCATAGCTGCCATCGATCCGATCGAACCTCACTGTTGATGGTAACAGATTAGATTCAGAGCGTTTGTAGATTCGTTTGTACTAAACAGTCGATTTGTTCGCATGTTATATCATTTCTCATTAGATTCATCGGCTCAATGTTTCATGCTAGTCATATTTTATCTAGCTGATGATTTTATTCATATCCGCGTGCATTATACTCATCACCGAGCCCACTGGATCACTGGCACGGGTGAGTCGCCCACTCACCAGTGTCGTCGACCACGACTAACGTTGTCCGACCACACACTATGACCAGAGTAGGACAACGGTGGTTCATGGTCGGCATCACTAGTATGTGCTCGGTAACACTAGTGAGTGTTCGGAGATCCAGTGGGCCAACACTGGCTGCTCCCAAAGTGGCACACTTAGAACTGTCTGGGCAAGAACCGGCATGTTCTCTCCCTTGTCAATTACAGTTCAAATTGACTGGCATACCATCGGGAGGAATACGCAGGGTCGACGGGTCCTGCGTTGAAGCCAAGCAGATCTCCAGTCTTGCTTCGTCAAGCAAATCCTTTTGGCTTACTGTGTGTCGATATTTTCATGTCGACAAAAAGTTATGAGAGGCAGAAAAAAAGTTATGGTGGAGATTTTGCCTTTTTATTATTAGATATAGATATAGATGAATACCAACAGGCCATGCCTTTCTTGTTGTAAAAATTCAACGAGAATCACAATGCGAACCATGTTGGGCCATAAATAAATTTAGGTGGGGGAACTTCTCTTCCCGCGTCGACCCCAAAGACTCAAACCGGATGGACACAAGACCACCACAAGGAACAAGTTCCCCTTAAAAAAAGAACAAATCATGTTTTTTTAGTTTGATGCTTAGATGACTATTGGATAGGATGGCATGCTTTTTTTGTTTGGTTGGGAGGTGGATGGAAAATAGATAAGCAGGACGTGGAAATTGTTTTTTCTTCAAAATTTGACGATGAAACAAGAATTATATTAGATAAAAGTTAGGTACATCAACATGTTACAAGCATTCTGGAATATACTACATATATACAGAAACTGATTTTCATCTCAATTGTAACCACGCTATGAATAGCTCCAAATCTCAAAACCAAACCTGTCTGATGTTTCGTATGGATGACCGCATAGGCAAACACTCGGCAATAGGCCTAAGAGCGGATGCCCAACGAAAAGGCGGCCAACATCCCTGCATGCGGAGTTGAGAATGTTCTTCTTTCTTTCTTGTGCCTTCTTCTTTCTGCCACCGAAGAATGAGGAAGACGGATCTGAAACTTATTCTTCATAGTACTTCATCGTGGCTAGATCTAATAAAAACAAAACGGAGAAGAGACTAGAGAAAATTATTCCATGGCGTCGACATCATACCGCCTTGATGTCGCCGTTTGAAAAGAAAAGTCTCCATGTCTTCATGCTGGTGAAGTTACTGACGACGTAGTTGTCGTCCTCATCTTCAACATAGCGGCCATGGAAAAAACGATTCCACCCTGCTCTCACCGTCGCCGGAGAGGAGGAGGAGATAAATCCCAAATACCAAGAAATGTTGCATGGAAAGACCATAACCTTAAGGACTCAATCTACTAGAAAACTTATTAAAAACGATGGACGATGGATCCCTACTCCCTTCGGCCTCCGGCGAGATGCCGGAGGGGAAGAAGGAGGACCAGCGGTGATGGAAGGCAGGGCTGTGTCGGGGTGGGGGGTCGCGAGCTCTTAATCATGTTGAAACAGTTATTTATTTGAAGAATTAGACTGTAGTGTAATTACTGCTAGTAAAAGCTAAGGTTAGCAACCAGTACCAAGTTCTAATTCGAACCACTACATTAGGTGAAACGACGAGCTGGAACTACTCCAGAAGCATCAACGATGAAACGAAACAGAAGATGACTAAGAGCAAAACAAAACAAGAAGGCGAGCACAGATTCAATTCGCTGTCCGTGCCTTGCCAAAAGAATAGGATAGGGCAACCAAAAGATTCACTTCGCTGTTCAATTCCTTGCCACATCAAGAAAGAACGCATTCGACTCTTTGTCCTCCCGCTAGGTTTTCCTTCCTCATTGGGATTGTGATTTGGGGATGCGTATGAAAGACCTCGAGCTGGACCCGTTTACATTTCAATTGTATATATAATAAATCCGGCGCAGCAACAGCATGCAGGCAGCTCGGACAGGGCTTCCATTCCATCGTTCTTCCACCCACCCACCCACCATTCGCTGATCGACATTGATCGGCCAGGAAAAAAAAGAGAGAGATCAGATCAGTGAGGACCGAGGACCGAGCCGAGCCGACAGATCGATACTGTAATTAACAATGGCGGCCCTGACCCAAAGCGCCATTGACGCGCTGCTGGGCGTGCTGACGACGGCGATCCCGGACGAGGCGCGGCTGATCGGCGGCGTCCACAGCGACATGAAGTTCATCAAGGACGAGATGGACAGCATGAACGGCTTCCTGCTGCACCTGAACAAGATGGAGAGCGAGCACGACGACCAGCTCCGCGCCTGGATGAAGCAGGTGCGCGAGGTGTCCTACGTCGCCGAGGACTGTGTCGACCGCTACAGGCGCGTCTCGGGTCGCTACGGCGAGGGCTGGGGCGGCGGAGGGTGCGCGGGCACCCGCACCCTGGCCTTCGTCCTCAAGCACCCCAAGGCGTATTGCCAGCTCCACAAGCTCGGCAAGCAGATCGCCGAGCTCAAGGCCCGCGTGCACGACGTCGGAGAGAGGCGGCAGCGCTACGACGTCAACGTTCCGACTGGCCGTGATCTCAAGATGGTGCAGAACAAGCTGCCTGACCAAGAGGAGGAGAAGAGGGAGGCTTTTGTACACGCGCTGGAGAAAGACGTCGTCGGCACCCCTGGCTGGTTTCGGTCCACGGAGCCGGCCCCTGCCCCGGCCCTGGCCACGGCCCCGGCCTCGGCCTCGGACCCAGCCCCGGCCCCTGCCTCTGCACCGGACCCGGACCCGCTTGATGCCCTGCTGCTTGAGGACGCTCTTGTTGGCCAGCTTCCTAGTCCCGTAAGACCATCTGAAGCTGCCATGATGCGTGCTCTTCTCAAGAAATGCTGTCCTCCGGACCATCCGCGTGAAGCTAATGCTAATGCTGAACTTGATCTTGATCCTTGTGAAGCTAATGCTAAAGCTGAACTTGATCTTGATCCTCGTGAAGCAGCGGCATTCAGATGCACCAGGAAGATGTTTCTTTGTGCTATGTATGTCTACCCTTACCCGACCAGTCAAGAGCTGAAGAAGCTCAAGGACAAGGTGGTGGGAGTGACTGAGCAAGAGCTGAAGGAGCTCAAGGACAAGGGGGACGAGGTGGGAGTGGAGGCACCTGGACCTGGAGTAGTAGGAGCACAAGAGGCCAGGAGACAAGTCATGATCTTCTGCTACAGCATACTGACCACCCAGCAGAAGAGCTGCCTACTGTACCTGACCGCGTTCTTCCACGAGAAGGAGATCAGCAGGACAAGCATGGTCAGGCGCTGGGTCGCCGAAGGGCTTGTAGGCAAAGAGCCAGGAGGAGGGAGGACCACTACTACTCCAGAAGAAGCAGGCGAGCGCTGCTTCCGTGAGCTTCTCCTCCGAGGCTTCATTCGTGCTGCTCGCTGGAGCGATGCCGGCACGGTCAAGAGCTGTGTCATGGATGACCCAGTCCGCGACTTCATCGACGGCATCACCAAGAGCGAGAACTTCGTCGCTGAGCTGCCGGCCCACCTGGATCGCCAGCTCAACATCCGAAGCATAGTTCAACGTCGTGCCTCCATGCCACCGCCGCCGCCGCCGCCGCTGGTTCGCCGCTGCAACCTCCGCTGCTGCTGCGGCGGCTGCACATGGCTACTCGACGACCATCGTGCGTCGGAGGATGCCACCGCCAAGGATCCCATGGACGAGCTGGTGGATTTCATCAGACACCTCCCTGAGCTATATCGGCTGAACGTGCTGGACCTGGGAGGCTGCACGGGCCTCAAGCGTCGCCACTGTTAGCTAATCTACTGCCACCTTGTGAGAATACAGCAGAGGAAGATGACGCCGACTTAGCTGCCTACTGTGTGTGAACACAGCAAGGGAAGATGGCGCCGACTTTGCCCCCTGCTGTGATACAGTAGCCGCTGCAGGTGCAGGCGTCGCACGGCTCACCTGCAGCACTGTAGGAACATGCAGTGGCCGACGTAGAGTCAGCCCTGTCAGGTTATCTAGTTACTGTGCCAGCATGGGCGCTGCACATGGACTAGATAGTTAGAGTTGTATAAATAGACATGTATGGCAACTCAGTAAAGAGAGCTCAGATTTGCCATCACACAGACAGGGCTTCGGCCAACGCTGTTGCTTTGTATTGTGCGTGCTTGCTCTGTTCTCCCTTCCTCTTCTAGCTCGATCCGTAGTGTGTGGGTACGGACAACGCCGGTACGTGGTCTGTACGGCTAGTGGGTGCTCGGCAACACTAGCGCGTGCTCGGCGAGACCGACAAGTGCTCCACTCGCCTGAGCCGGTGGTTGGCAAGATCGGCTGCAGTGGCACTGTCATGAGCCGATGATCCTGTGAGACCAACGGAGTAGTCTGGAGGCTATCGTGGTGGTCTGGATGCTATAAGGTAGTGGTCTGGAGGCCTGGTCGGTGCTCTGGAGGCTATCTGTAGTGGTCTGGAGATCATCTCGGTGGTCGGGAGGCTAATTGTGGGCCAACAAGTGGTATCAGAGCCGTACAAGCGCTGTCGTCATTCTAACCGATGGCGATGACAGGCGGTTCGGAGTTGGGCATTGGCAGTGGCACTGTCATGGCTGTCCAGCCACTACCGGAGATAGTTGTTTGCACGGTGCAGGAGGTCAGCGACACCACTTGGCCGACGCTGACTCGTACTAACTATGGAGAGTGGTCGGTGACCATGAAGGTCAAGCTCAGAGCCCGACGGCTCTGGAATGCTGTTGACAAGGGCACCGACGTGGAAGAAGACGACATGTCAGCGATGGAGGCTATCCTCGCTGCTGTACCGGCGGAGTATAGGGAACCGTTGGGGACGAAGAGCTCAGCTAAGGAGGCATGGGAGGCCATTGCGGCGATGCGCATCGGTTCCGACCGCGCAAAGAAGACGACGGCCCAGCTTCTGAAGCAGGAGTACGCAAACCTCAAGTTCAAGGATGGTGAAACGGTGGAGGACTTCTCCCTCCGCCTGCAGACGCTCATCAGCAAGCTGAAGAGCCACGACGTCACCATCGACGAAGAGGAGGCGGTCTCCAAATTCCTCCACTCCGTGCCGACAAAGTACATCCAGATCGCTCTCTCCATAGAGACGATGCTGGACTTGTCCACCCTCACCATTGAGGATGTGGTAGGCCATCTGCGGGCGGTGGACGAGAGCCTAGAGCAGGCGACAGCAACGAAGGACAGCGGGAAACTCCTGCTGACGGAAGAGGAGTGGGCTGCTCGCCGAAACTCCGGGAAGGCAGCCTCCTCCAGTCACGGTGGCAAGGGCAAGCACCGCGGCAGGGCTTCTTCGGAGAAGAAGCAAATCGACTCCAACGTCTGTCGGTGTTGCGGGAAGATAGGCCATTGGGCACGGGAGTGCCCAAATCGCAAGAAGGAAAAGAAGGCTCAGGCTCATCTGGTGAAAGCCGATGATGAGAATGAGGCTACTATCCTTATGGCGACGTTCTGTGCACTGCACGACGTCGAGGCCATGGAGAGGGAAGAGGCGACGATGGTGGAAGGATCTAGCAAGGCCCTGAAGACCGTCAACCTCGACGAACCACGCGCCCAAGTCCATCTTGGGCATGTGGGCGTCGACCAGGAGCAGCGGTGGTATCTAGACTCTGGTGCCAGTAACCACATGACGGGCTCCAAGGACTCATTCTCCGAGCTCGACGACGATGTTACCGGTATGGTGAAGTTTGGTGATGGCTCAAGGGTGGCTATCCAAGGGCGCGGCACCATCATCTTCAGATGCCAGAATGGGGAGCACCGCGCGCTAACGGATGTATACTACATCCCACAGCTGCGTTCTAGCATCATCAGCATTGGTTAGCTGGATGAGCGCGGTAGCGAGGTTCTGATCAAGGACGGCGTTCTGAGGATCAGAGATCGGGAGCAGCGACTTCTCGCCAAGGTGAAGAGGTCCCTGAACCGGTTGTACCTGCTCGACCTGAAGGTAGAGCAGCCGGTTTGCCTGGCGGCAAGGCACTCCGAGGAACCGTGGATGTGGCATGCCTGATTCGGACATCTCAGCTTCGACGCGCTTGGTCGGCTGGGGAAGATGGTCCAAGGGCTACCCCACATCAAACACGGAGGCGAGCTGTGTGACAGCTGCCTGGCCAGGAAGTAGAGGAGGCTACCTTTCCCAAAGGCGGCCAAGTATCGCGCAAAGGAAGCTCTCGAGCTAGTTCACGGCGACCTCTGCGGGCCGATCATGCCTGCTACATGCGGTGGTCGGCGGTACTTCCTCCTACTCGTGGACGATTGCAGTCGCTACATGTGGTTGCAACTCCTGACGAGCAAGGACGAAGCGGCGGTGGCGATCAAGAAGTTCAAGACGCGCGTGGAGGCTGAGAGCGGCAAGAAGCTCCGTGTACTGAGGACTGATCGGGGTGGCGAATTCACTTCGGTGGAGTTTGCTACGTACTGCGCGGATCAAGGTGTGGGGCAACATCACACCGCGCCGTACTCGCCACAACAGAATGGCGTGGTGGAGCGACGGAACCAGACAGTGGTCGGCATGGCCTGATCCATGATGAAGGCCAAAGGGATGCCGGTAAAGTTCTGGGGAGAGGCGGTGACCACGGCGGTGTTCATCCTCAACCACGCTCCAACCAAAGCCCTAACGGGCAAGACGCCGTTCGAAGCTTGGTACGGAAGCAAGCCGAACGTGTCATTCCTCCGGACATTCAGTTGCATCGGCCACGCCGGAAGAGAGCGGCCGAACCTCACCAAGGCGGAGGATGTGAGCACACCCATGGTGTTCCTGGGCTACGCGGAGGGTACCAAGGCGTACCGGCTCTATGACCCACGCGGAGACAAGGTGACTGTCTCACGCGACGTTGTGTTCAACGAGGAGGCAGCTTGGGACTGGCACAGTCCGAGCACGGGGGAAGCGGGAGGCTTCACCAACACCTTCGTCGTCGAGCACTTGGTCATCCATGGCGGTGGAGACGCTACGGAACAGGTGCCACGCACTCCGGGAGGAGCGCCGAGCACTCCGACGGTAGAGTCGAGCACTTATGGGGCAGTGCCGAGCACTTCAGGAGGGATGCCGAGCACTCCGAGAGGAGTGTCGAGCACTTCTGGAGGGATGCCGAGCACGCCAGGAGTGGAGCCAGGAGGTTCTACGGTGGTGGCGACCACTTCAGGACGGGTACCGAGCACTCCCGTGGCAGAGCCAAGACGTCTTACTGTGGTTCCGACCACTCCAAGACTGAGGCTGGGCACTCCTACAGTGTGGCCAAACACTGCAGGAGTTATGACGAGCAGTCCAGAAGCAATGCCAAGCACTTCAGGTGCTATGCAGGGCACTCCGGCGGAAGAAGGAACTCCATCACCCCCGATCGAGTTCGCCTCACCTCCAAGTGACATCACTGAGTTCGTGGACGCCTACCACGAAGGTGAGGAGTTGAGGTTCCGCAGGCTGGACGACATCGTCGGCGGCATAGGTCCCTTAGGTATGGCGGGTAGGCTACTCAACGACGCAGAGCTGCTACTCGTCAGTGCAGAGGAACCACCCACGTTCGCGCTAGCCGAGCGTGATGGAAACTGGCGACGGGCGATGCTGGAGGAGATGAAGGCGATCGAGGAAAATGAGACTTGGCAGCTCGTCGATCCACCCCCAGGATGCCGTCCGATCAGCCTGAAGTGGGTGTACAAAGTCAAAAGGGATGAGCTCGACGCCATTGTCAAGCACAAGGCGTGCCTCATCGCCCGAGGCTTTGTCCAGCGCGAGGGCATCGACTTCGAGGAGGTCTTTGCACCAGTTGCGCGCATAGAGTCGGTCCGTTTGCTACTTGCTTTGGCGGCAGCAAAGGACTGGCGCGTCCATCACATGGACGTTAAATCGGCCTTCCTCAACGGCGAGCTGGCGGAAACGGTCTTCGTCAGGCAACCACCGTGGTTATTTGTCAAGGGAGAGGAGCATAGGTGCTCCGATCGCAGAAAGCGCTCACGGGCTGAGGCAAGCCCCTCGAGCATGGAACGCCAAGCTTGATACCACGCTGGGCGAGCTTGGGTTTCAGAGGTGCGCAACCGAGCACGCGCTCTACACGCGACGACGGGGGAAGGAAGAACTCGTGGTCGGCGTGTATGTGGATGACTTAATCGTCACGGTACAAGCGCCGCGGAGGATATCAACAGCTTCAAGCGAGAGATGGCAGCTCGTTTTTGAATGAGCGATCTCGGCGCTCTCTCCTACTACCTCGGCATCGAGGTGAGACAGGGGAAGGAGGAACTCACGCTCGGGCAAAGCGCGTATGCCTCCAAGCTGTTGGAGAGGAGCGGCATGGTGGAGTGCAAGCCATGCGTAACTCCGATGGAGGAGCGGCTGAAGCTGACGAAGGACAGCACCGCGGTGAAAGTAGATGCAACACTCTACCGGAGCATCGTCGGCGGTCTGCGCTACCTAGTCCACATAAGGCCGGACATTGCGTTCGCCGTGGGCTACGTCAGTCGCTTCATGGAGGATCCCAGAGAGGATCACTGGGCTGCGGTGAAGCGGCTACTACGCTACGTCAAGGGGACGGTGAATCATGGAATCATCTTCCCAAAGACCGGGGGAAGTAGGCTGCAGCTCACGGTGTTCAGCGACGCAGACATGGCGGGGGACATCGACGGACGACGGAGCACCTCTGGCGTACTCGTCTTCCTCGGGTCAGCCCTAATTTCATGGGTGTCATTTGAAATGAAGGTGGTGGCGCTATCTACGTGCGAGGCGTAGTACGTAGCGGCGGCCCCGCAATGGCGCAAGTTTGTGGAAAGACGCCGGCTCTTTGAAAGCGAGCTAACCGGCGTAAAAGCTCACCCATCAAGCGATGGTGGACAACCAGCCCGCCATCGCCCTCGCGAAGAATCCGTTCGCACGACCGAGTAAACACATCGACGTAAAGTTCCACTTCCTCAGGGACTGTGTTGATGGAGGGCAGATCGTCATCGAGTTTGTCGAAACTGGTCGGCAGCTCGCGGACGTCCTCACCAAGCCGCTCGGACGACTTCGACTCATGGAGCTGAAGAAGATGATCGGCATAGAGGGGTTACAAGGGTTAGCAGTAGGATTAGGGGAAGATTGTTAGCTAATCTACTGCCATCTTGTGAGAACACAGCAGAGGAAGGCGGCGCCGACTTAGCTGCCTGCTGTGTGTGAACACAGCAAGGGAAGGCGGCGCCGACTTTGCCCCCCTGTGATCTGATACAAGAGCTGCAGTGCAGGCGGTATTTGCACGGCTCACCTGCAAAGATCAGAGGGAACAGCAAGGGCCGCACAAAGTCAGCCCTGTTAGGTTATCTAGTTACTGTGCTAGCATGGGCGCTGCACATGGACTAGATAGTTAGAGTTGTATAAATAGACATGTATGGCAACTCAGTAAAGAGAGCTCAGATTTGCCATTACACAGACAGGGCTTCGGCCAACGCTGTTGCTTTGTATTGTGCGTGCTTGCTCTGTTCTCCCTTCCTCTTCTAGCTCGATCCGTAGTGTGTGGGTACGGACAACGCCGGTACGTGGTCTGCACGGCTAGTGGGTGCTCGGCAACACTAGCGCGTGCTCGGCGAGACCGACAAGTGCTCCACTCGCCTGAGCCGGTGGTCGGCAAGATCGGCTGCAGTGGCACTGTCGTGAGCCGGTGATCCGGTGAGACCAACGGAGTGGTCTAGAGGCTATCACGGTGGTCTGGAGGCTATAAGGTAGTGGTCTGAAGGCCTAGTCGGTGCTCTGGAGACTATCTATAGTGGTCCGAAGATCATCTCAATGGTTAGGAGGCTAACTGTGGCCCAACAGCCACCTCAAGAACTTTGCCGAGGTGGAGTGTCTCAAGTATCTGAGCCTTCGCAACACAGATGTCTCCCGACTGCACGCCACTCATATCAACAAACTCACGCTGCTGGAGACCCTGGACATCCGGGAAACAAACATACCACCTAGCGACACCGTGAGTATCTACCTGCCAAAGCTCAAGCACTTGCTCGCCGGCCGCTTTTCCAAGACGACGACGGCCACGACCATGCCGGCGGTCGAGAAGGGGTCGCTCGTCACCGTGCACATGCCTGGCAGGATTGGTTCGATGAGGGACATGGAGACACTATCCCACGTCCAGGTTTCCATGGACGGAGCCGAGCTGCAAGGGGTCGCCAAGCTGCACCAACTGCGGAAGCTCGGCGTGGTCGTCCATGCCAACACTACCACTGCCGCACTTCTGGGTCGAGTAATATACATGCTAGCTGCAAACTTGCGCTCCTTGTCAATTTGGGTCGCCATCGCCGTCCCCACACCACCACCCACCCCACCATCCAGCAGGGCGGCGGCACCGGCATTCTCGACATTTCCTCCATGTATGAAATGGCCTCCAGTTTGGCCCTCGAGAACCTAGACATCAAGGGAAAGATGAGCCTCCCTTCATGGATCGGAAGGGCCTCGAAGCTAGCCAACGTCACTCTACGCGACACTGAGATGGATGGAGGAGATGCTTTGAGGAGGCTTGCCACTGTCCAGAGCCTACGCTGCCTCAAGCTCAGCCGCAAGGCGTTCACCGAGCAAGCGCTCCGCTTCAAGGACGTCCAGTTCCAAGCTCTCAAGTTCCTCGTCGTCGAAGGTGACGCCGTCATCCGAATCGCCTTCTTCGCCGGCGATGCAGCTCCTAAGCTCGAGAAGATTGTCTGGACCATCGGCGGTGGCAGCAAGATAGCACAAATGTACAATGAGGACCTCATCACCGGAATCGACCACCTTCCCAGCCTAAAGGAGATTGAACTTAGGGCCAGCTTCAACCTGGCCAATAGCCGCAAACCACTTCTTCAGCGTGCACACCAGATCTGAGGTATCACGTCCGGTACATATCCTCATCCGCCGGAAATCAATTAATCACTGAGGTTCCAAAAACAAAAACTGATGATAAAACCTTGACACTTCTGGCTGGTGTTATCAATTAATAACCAGCAGTAAAACCTACCTTACCAAGACATGATATATGCATTGTACATATGCGTGTGCATCCACGTGACTTATATTGTGTATGTGTGCTTCGATATAATGCCTATGTGTGTGCTGGTATGTAATAAAACGCATGCATGCATGCTGGCATGCTGAGCAGCTGCAAGCTGCGTCTTCGTCTGAGTCATTGTACGTGTTCCTTCATTTACATTGTCTGTGTGTGTGTGTGTGTTATATGTATGGGCTACATATGATCTTATTAATGATGCGTGTAAAATATGATACTACCTCGTCATGATATGAAACATAAGGGATTCTTATTATATATGTACTTGTTCATATGTATAGTTAGAATCCCTTACATTTGTGGGTGGAGGTAGTATGTTGTTGATTGATGTAATTAAGAGCAACCACACCCTCCCTAAATATGGATTGTATGCTTTATCAATGCTATTGTAGTAGATATGCACAGGCAACGTGCACATAAAAAAATCCATGATTGAACCGATGGAAGTTAAATTCCAGTGCAGTCTGTACACTGACGATCTCATTCTGTTCGCCCGACCAACAAGGCAACGACACAAGAAGCAAGAGCAATCAAGGAAATACTATGGATTTTTTGGAAGACATCGAGGCTTTACACGAACTTGAGCCAATGCTCCATAACACCAATTTAGGCGAAGAGGCGGATATGGAAGACACTGAAACAATTCTAGGCTACCAAATCCAGCAATATTTTTTTTTTTTTTGAATTTCCACGGGGGAAGCGTTCCCCACCTGAGTTATATATTAGCCCAAAAACCGGCCCGTTATATAGTTATACAAGGTGTTTGGTTACATATCATCACACAGGTGGTGATGATAGTTGTTTGTCAAAAACAAGTATGAGCACTAGTCATCCATTTCTTGCTGATTTGAAAACCTGACACCACTGATCAACAATGGCCTTTTCCTTCTTGGAAATCTGTATCGCCATTGCTCTGCCGATGCTTTGCAGGCTGCGAATACTTGTGTGATGTTGTGCCTTTCTTCTCTGAATACCGTTGCATTTCTTGCCTTCCACAGCTGCCAGCATTCTAATGCAATGAAGGCCGAGTACTCCTCTCTGGGGACCCCATTCGGTGGCGTTGTTGTGTGTATGTTAGTAACACTGATTCCCACCATGGATGTTGCCCCAAGCTTCTCCCAGAACTGCTTGCCAAGGTTGCAGCCGCTGATTATGTGTTCCGGTGTTTCGTCATCCTCATTGCAGACCTCACAGGTACAGTCCCGTAGCACATTTTTCCGGTGCAGCACAGAGCGGCACTGTATCCTGCCCTGCGCTGCCTCAAGCTCAGCCGCAAGGCGTTCACCGAGCAAGCGCTCCGCTTCAAGGACGTCCAGTTCCAAGCTCTCAAGTTCCTCGTCGTCGAAGGTGACGCCGTCACCCGAATCGCCTTCTTCGACGATGCAGCTCCTAAGCTCGAGAAGATTGTCTGGACCATCGGCGGAGGCAGCAAGATAGCACAAATGTACAATGAGGACCTCATCGTCGGAATCAAACACCTTCCCCTCCTAAAGGAGATTGAGCTTAGGGCCAGCTTCAAGCTGACCAATCTCTCGGAGTGGACGAATCAGCAAGCAGCCACTTCAGGAAATCCAAGCGCCACTTCAGCAAATCCAAGGTATGACATCCGGTACATATCTTCATCCGATGGACAGTTAATCACTGAGCTCCCAAGAATTGGCACTCACACTACCTTGTCACTTCCGGCTCTAACCAGAAGTGAAGCCTAGCTTACCAACCCATGATATATGCATATATATGTGCAATTGTGCATTGTACATGTGTGTGTGTGCGTCCACGTGACATATTGTGTATGTATCCTTCAATATAATGCCTATGTGTGTGTGTTGTATGTAATAAAATAAAACGCATGCATGCATGCGGGCAGCTGCAAGCTGCGCCTTCGTCCGAGTCATTGTGTGTGTTGTTCCTTCATGTACACTGCGTGCAATATATATGTATGGCCCGGGCCACATATGATCTGATTAATGATGACTACCTCGTCGTGATGAAACATAAGGGATTCTTATTTTATATATGTATTTGTTCATACATAATTTATTTCTACTATTATTCAACTTCTTTGGTTTACAAGATACGATTGTCCTTTTCAAATATAGAGTGTTTGTTATTTTATGTAGTGAAAAAAAGCATGATAGCTTATTGACTGTTTTGAAAAGCATTGTTGCCTTCTTTCTCAAAGTAATTGTTGTTATTTGAGTGAGATGACACAAATAGTATGGTAAATATAATGCTTGCAAGAATTGTTTTCATTTCTTCGAGCAACTAAATATTATCTTTAGTTTTTGACTTATTCACTGCAATATACTCCCTCCGGTTCTATAAAGCAAGTCGTTTTGGACATTGACACGGTCTTTAAGAAACGACTTTGACCGCTACTTTTTGCTATAAAATATTTATAAAATATAGTCAATATATACTTTTATGAAACTACATTTCGAGATGAATCTACTTACATCACTTTCATATTTTCAAACTCAACCCAAAAGAAGTTATTTGTAGTCAAAGTTTAAAATGTTTGACTTAAGACAACCTCAAAACGACTTGCTTTAGAGAACCGGAGGGAGTATGCGCTTATGCTAGATCTTTGTGATTATTTTTGTAGATTAAGTATTATTGTCATGTTAAGCATGTACATATGTTGATTAGCTCCTTGGACAATTAACATAGCATTTATGCCCTTTGGAAAGTAGTATTGGCCCGTAGAAGTGATACTCTGGTGTTCCTTTGGTTTCTGCTGCATGTTTTTTTTTTTTGAAGAATTGATTAATGGCATAAAGGTGAAAGGACAACTTGTATGTTTTGGCTAGGGCCATGTTTAGTTCCTCCTATTTCCAGAATTTGACACTATGCAAAAAAAATATTTCCCGTCACATCAAACTTGCGGTACATGCATGGAGTACTAAATGTTGACGAAATTAAAAACTAATTGCACAGTTTTGTTGTACTTTGCGAGACGAATGTTTTAAGCCTAATTAGTCAACGATCGGACAATTATTGCCAAGTAAAAACAAAACGGTACTGTAGCTACAGTGCCAGCGGAAATTCGGCGGCACCGATTCGGTGGCCGAACTAAACGAGGCCTAGGTTCAATTGATAACTTGTTGTATATTTACCATGTGAATTGAGGGCACTTGCATATTTCAATCCATCATTTTAAATTAGACATAAATTATTTGTTTAAAGGAGGGCAGAACTTCTTGAATTAGCCAATTGATACAATTTTACAACAGTCATATGCTTTGCTTATGAATTCTTACCATTGTCAGTAATAATATATAGGGATAATAATATGATCTGGAGCTACTGGGTCCTAAGAACTTAAAAAATCTGAATAATTTCAACTTCACACGGGGGAATCTAGAGCATGTGTTTCCATCTCCCTTTCCTGTGTTTTATCTATTTTTGGTTATTTACTGACATATATATCCATTAGAAAAGCACTGAAGATATGCGGGAGGACAATGCTGATGAAGAGCTGTAAAAATGACATTACTGTTCCTATGATGTCTATGAAGATATGGGTGACGTACATCTATCTGACAGGCTCGAGCGGCATCTTCACGGGTTTTTTTTATATATATAGAAAAGGAGGTTTCCCTGATTTTGTATTTCAAAAAGCAAAAACAAACGTTTCAGTTCAGCGTTTTGGCGCACCCGCCTTAAAAGTTCAGCCTAAAGGCGAAATCACAGGGATACTTAAGACATTACTATCAGTTTTTTTTTTGAAACGCCATCTTCACGGGCTTCTCCACCGAGTTCGTGGGCCACGCGCGCGTGGGACCTTGTCTCACTCCGATCCATGTGCTTGCCCGCCGGCGTACATCGTCTGCGGCAGCGAGAGGTGGTGGGCGCCGACGGCAAGCGCTTGCTGGAGAGTGGAGACACGCGTGTGGAGGACCGGCGGCTTCCTCCACCACGTTCGCTTGGGCTTCATGGCTTATAAGCCGTACTTTTTTAGTCAATAAATAGTATAGTATTTTTCTCTCACACTAAATCAGTCAACGGTACTTTAGTTTATCAAGAAAAAAAAAAACGAGCCGCTCCTCTTCATCGCTTCCGACCGCCGTCGCAGAGTAGCATAGGGTGGTTCTCCATCACCACCACCCTGGCCTTAAGTAAGGCCCTGTTTAGATCCCACCCAAAATCCAAAAATTTTCAAGATTCTCCGTCACATCAAATCTTGCGGCACATGTATGGAGCATTAAATGTAGGTAAAAAGAATAACTAATTACACAATTTGCCTGTAATTGACGAGACGAATCTTTTAAGCCTAAATAGTTCATAATTGGACAATTTTTACCAAATACAAACAAAAATGCTACAATAGAACCAAAAGCTAAAAATTTTCGCATCTAAACGGGGCCTAAGCTTTTGCATCTCTATCGGGAGTCGGGACTGAGCTGTTGCTTGTCTGCACGTACTACATTGGACTGGAAACTGACATGTCCTGGTCTTGTCCCCTCATTGAACCACTACTACTTCCGAGATGAATATGATCCAATACACGCTTTTCTTAATGATGATGGTCAACTATCAACGCTGTCTGTTCGGTCTTGTGTTTAATTGATTATTACTACTGCAAAGTTGTCACAGGAGGTGAAATGACTTGTTAGGTTTCAAAGTCGCAAAAAAAAAAACGACTTGTTAGGTTTCAATTGTTAGCCGCGGTCTTGAGTATAAGCTATCTATCCTATTTAGTGGCACCGAAATATCAATTTTAATCACCGGGAACTAAAGTAATTTGACGAACCATATCTTCTCAAATACTCAAAAGATTTGTGTATTATTATAATTAAGTAGAAGAGTTTAACCATACAGATGACGAGCTTTTGATGAGCGCGCTAGGTGGTTTTACAGCTATGACTGGACCTTCCTAGCAGACTGTCTTGAATACAGATAACAATTAGCTCCCCAAATTACACCACCAACATTGTCTTGGATACAGATAAGGTAATTATTGTATTGTTGTTCCATTCAAAGTTTTGGTCTTTTGTATCGAAACAATGGGCATCCCGATGGGCACCAAGGTCCAATTTCTCTCTCACACAACGTCTATGTATTCACCACTTGTTCAGGTCCTTGCTCAGATCTGCACAAGGGCAAGCAAGCATCGGCGGAAGGAACTTGAGCAAGCAAAAACTCTGACTGAGGTCACAATCACGGACTTCTTTCCTGAGGGGATTTTTTTTATCTATGTACATGCAGATCGATGTAGTGGATGTGGTTTTTGCATTTGCTTTGCAGAGTAGCAACAATAGCCGGCAAGTTGCAAATGATGTTCAGGTTTTCAGGTTTTTGGAAGTTCAATCTTTTAGGTGTGATGAAAACAGCAAATTCACGGTTCAACCTTTCAGTCTGTTCCCTATTTCCGGCGAATTTATTGTTTTGTTGAAACAAGCAAATACGCAGTTTTCAGGCAACCGGCAGTCAGCCCGGTAGTCTGCAATGCAAGGATAAAGTTCAGATGATGTTCAGCCTTTCAAGTTTTTGTTTTGTCGAGTCGAGTCAAACCGACAGATCATGACGCTATGCATTTTCAGTTTTCAGTTCATCGAGTCAAATGGATGGACAGATCGTGAAGCAGCAACCAAGCTCGGTCTTACATACGGTCTTTCAAGATTTTGAATGTTCAGGTGGCGTTCAGTTTTGCTGTTGTTTAAAGCTCAGTATTTTTTTATCCTAATTAACGTCCGTGGAAAATTTGTCGAGTTGGTGAAGATTTTTGTCATCCTAAAAAGATGATGCAGCTGTAAGTTTGTACTCCTTTGTTTGCAATTGCAATATGTCCATAGACCTTGACTGCGATTTGTACATTGCATTTTTTTGAGGGGGCGGAGAACAGAGGCTTCTATAGTGTCATTTCTTTTATCATCTTTTTTTGGATGAAGCAGGCGTGTCTAATCAGTTGGCCTTATTATTATGGGTTAATCAGATACATGTCATTGTAAATGTCACGTTTTAGAGATATACCATTACTATTCACGAAATTAAAAACATGTCAGTATATACCATTACTATTCACAAAATTGGGAACATGCCATTATAATTTCACAAATCTCTAAAATATACCACTACGTACCCTTTCAATGCTTTTTATCAGAATTTTTGGTCCAAATTGCCCTCATCTTCTTCCTTCCTCTTCTCTCTGTACATCTCTTCAGAGGCTGGCACCGCACGCATCGGTCATCGCTCTGCTCGTCAGCCCGCCGCCGTGCAGTGTGCACTGCGTCCGCACTAGCATACTGGTCTGGCACCTCAAGGCTCAAGCTACTTGTAGGATCGCCACCATGGCCGTGCCCGCGCGCTCCGTCCCTCTTCCCTGTACCGGCCTGTGAGCTACGCTCGTGCTCAGCGCCTCCACCGCCGTGCTCGCCCACACGGCCACACCACCTGTCGTCACCATGTGCTGTGCTCGAGCTTGCTACCTCCGTCCTCCGCGTCGCACGCACGCATCGTACCCGTGCTCGCCCGCATCACCTGCCAACGGTGCATGCCTCGTCCACGCAGCACACGCCGAGCATGGTGAGCTTCCGCTCAAACACGTGGGCGGCGGCGTGTCCCTGATGAGCTCGGAGAAGCCTGGGTCCAACCTACGGCGAGCGCGCACAGCTTCGCGATGTGCACGGCCGCAGCATGCCAGTGTGCGTGCGCTCGCCGAAGGTGAGGTCATGTTCTTTACTTCTTCCTTAGCTGCGGCAGTAGCTCAGAGCACAACGCCCATGGTGCCGCAGCATATCAGCATGCTGCTCCAGTCCTCCGTCCACGTCTAGTGCTCCAGTTATTACCCCCTGACCTTTGCCCCTACGTCTACTTCACCCCTGAACTATGAAATGAAACCATATATTTAACACCTTAAACTTCTCCAAACCAGACATTTAACCCCAAAAACCATTGTTTTGGCTCATGGTTTTGCTGACGTGGCAGTCTAGAGCGGTTCACATTGACATGTTGGCACTTGGGCCCACGCGTCATAGAAAGAGGAGCCTGAGCCTGGGGCACACACCTCCTCGTCGCCGGCAACAGGAAGGCCGCTAGTGCGCTGGCGTCCCTGGCGCATGTGCTGTTGCTCCGCCTAGACCGAGTGCCACGAGAGCCTCCTCTACATCCGCGATGTCGCATTCGCACCCTACGGCGAGTACTGGCGCCAGTCGCGGCGCGCGTGTGCGCCGTCCACCTCCTCAGCGAGTGCAGCATCGGGTCCTTCCGGCGCGTCAGGGAGCAGGAGGCCGCAGCGACCGTCGACCTCAGCGAGCTCCTCACTGAGTACGCCAACGCCGTCGTGTCGAGCACCGCGCTTGGCGACGGGAGTGCGTGCGGGCTGCTCGACGATGGCGACTCCGGCCGTCGGCAGAGGAAGGTTATAATAATCGTGGTTCCTCATTTAAATATTCACTTTTATTCCTGCAGAAAAGGATACTATTTTAGTTTCCTTTGTCTATACATGTATCTATACTTTCTATAGTAGTTGGTCGATCTCTTTCTTGTATCAGGATCAAACCATACACGGACACCACAACTACGGCGATGGAATAGTCCATGGCGGAGCTCGTCACTCACACGCGCGCCATGCGCAGGGCCCAGGACGAGGTCCGCGCGGCTGCCAGCAGCTCAACCCGTGGCGGTGACGGCGTCAACGAGGACCACGTCGCCCCGATGGACTACCTAAAGGCCATGGTGAAGGAGACGCTCCGGCTGCACGCGCCGGCCGGTGCCGCTGCTTGTGCCCCGGGAGCTGCTGGGCTGTTGGCTGACACCGAGATCCTGAGGTTTGTGCCGGAGAGGTTCTTGGTGAAGTCTTCGGCTCGCTGGGGCCCGCCGCCGGAGGCGAGGAAGACGACCCTGAATCGATGAAACGGTTACTGGAACACACGCGAACTCAGTGGATCAACACAGAGGATTTTGGTGCTGGAACTACTCAGCGTTTTCTGACTCTATGCATTGCAATTTATACAAGAAACGAATGGCTCTCGGCCACCCGGACACAGCGCCATGCGCGCCACTCCTCCCGACTCGATCGCGCCATCCCACGACCGGACAAGTGGAGCGCTAAGCTTCAGCTACGACTCGAGACACACCCGGAGAGAGCACCTACATGACTGCCTCACCGCGAACGATGCGCGATTCAGGCGTACAAGACGCACCCATGTACCGGGTTCAGTTATTTGCTAAGACTGACAGACTCGCTAACTGAAAACTCTAAAACCACGGACTGAAATGACTGAATGATACTAACAATCTCCCCCTGAATGAAGTCGTTTCAGCCCAGGTTTACAATACCAATCTTCTCACGAAGCTCGCAGAACCTTGATCGCCCAAGCGCCTTCGTCATCAGATCGGCCAGCTGCTCCTGAGAGCTCGCAAACTCCAGCGAGATGCTTCCCTTGTCGTTGCATTCACGAATGAAATGAAATTTAGTATCGATATGCTTACTTCGATCATGCAGCACCGGGTTCTTGCTGAGTGCGATTGCAGACATGTTGTCCATCTTCAGTTTAGGCGTCTGAGGATCATCGCCCATGATATCCTTCAGCAACCTTGTGAGCCACACCGCCTGACACGCTGCTCCAGCGCCGGCGATGTACTCCGCTTCGCAGGATGAGAGCGCCACCACTCTCTGCTTCTGGGACTGCCAGGCCACCGCCTTTTGCCCCAGGAAGAAGACGATGCCCGTAGTGCTCTTCCTGTCATCCGTATCTCCCCCCAAATCGCTATCACTGTAGCCGATCAGATTGTTGTCGCTGCCTGACAGCTTGGGGTAGATGAGTCCAAACTCAACTGTGCCGGCGATGTAGCGTAGCAGATGCTTCACCGCCGCCATGTGCTCCTGCCTTGGCTTCTCCATGAAGCGACACACGAACCCCACCGCGAACGAGATGTCCGGGCGAGTGTGCACCAAGTACCTGAGACTGCCCACCAGGCTGCGGTACTCAGTTGCATCGACCAAGGCGGTCGTTCCATCCTTCGACAGCTTCAGTCGAACTTCCATTGGGGTGTGACAGGGGTTGCACCCCGCCATACCTGCCTTCTGCAGCAGCTTGCGCCCATATGCAGCCTGGCCAAGGGTGATTGCAGTTTTGGATTGCCTCACCTCAATGCCCAAGTAGTAGGACAGCAACCCGAGGTCGCTCATCCTAAACAGCCGCTGCATCTCCGCCTTGAAGGCTTCAACTCCACCCTCCTTGGCTCCGGTTATGATCAGATCGTCGACGTAGACGCCTACGATCACCCGAGAAGACCCCTTGCCACGGGTGTACATGCCATGCTCGCTGACACAGCGCGTGAAGCCGAGGTCACTCAGGCTCGCATCAAGCTTCTGGTTCCACGCCCGAGGAGCCTGACGAAGCCCGTAGAGTGCCTTCTTCAGACGAAGCACCTTCTTCTCATGCCCCGCCGCGATGAAGCCCGGCGGCTGCTGCACGTACACTTCCTCCGCGAGATCACCGTTGAGAAACGCTGACTTGACATCCATATGATGGACAAGCCAGCCTTCCTGTGCAGCAACAGCAAGAAGCATTCTCACCGACTCCATTCTCGCCACCGGCGCAAACACCTCGTCAAAGTCGATGCCGGCCTGCTGGACGTAGCCCTTGGCCACCAAGCGCGCCTTGTACTTACTGATCGCCCCCAGTTCGTCGCGCTTGATCTTGTACACCCACTTGAGCCCGATTGCACGGTGCCCTTGTGGGAGACTCACCAGAGTCCAGGTGTTGTTCTGCTCGATCGAGGAGAGTTCCTCGAGCATGGCCTTCCGCCAGTCCTCACTGCCACGTGCTTCATCAAACGTCGTGGGCTCTCCGTCGACAGCGACGAGCAGCTCGCCACCCACCGCGCGATCCGCCTCCCTTGGAACGGGCTCATCACCGAGGACATTATCCATTGTCCTGAACCTCAGCGGCGCGTCGTCGGCATCAGCGTCCAGCATTGGTTCCCCCGAAGGAGGTGAGGCGAATTCCACTCCAACCGGGGTTCCCGGCGCAGGTGTAGCCTCTGGTGTCGCCGGAGGGGATGCGGGACCCATAGTCGGTGTCGAGGGCCCCGGCGAGACCGGTGGTGTTGGCGCTGGTGACTGCAGCGGTGTCAGCGCTGGTGACTGCGGCGCGTGTCCGCCGCCCAGAGCAGACATGATCACGTACTCCACCATGAACGGCTCCCCCGAAGCCATACTTGGCAGATCTGCCGCAGCATCTTCCCACTTCCAAGGCCTCCCTTCTTCGAACACAGCGTCCCGCGAGATGCAGACACGCCCTGTGCTCGGGTTGTAGAATCTGTAGGCCTTCGTCCCCGGCTCATATCCGATGAATGCCATGGGAGTGCTGCGATCATCCAGCTTGCGCTGGTGACCGCCAGCGACCTTCACATGTGCCGTGCAACCAAAAGTGCGGAAGAAATGCACAGCTGGCTTGGAACCATACCAGACTTCGTAGGGCGTCTTCCCGTCCACGCTCCTCGTCGGCGACCGGTTCAATATGAAGACGGCCGTGCACACCGCCTCCCCCCAAAGCCAGCCGGGCACGTTCATGCCCTTCATCATGCTCCGTGCCATGCCTAGCACGGTCTGGTTCCGTCTTTCCACCACGCCGTTTTGCTGAGGTGTGTACGGCGCGGTGAAGTGACGTTGCACGCCATGGTCAGCGCAGTGCTCCTCGAACACTCGCGCTGTGAACTCGCCTCCACGGTCCGTGCGCAGGGTCCCCAGCTTGCAGCCGGCTTCCCTCTCCAGCCTCGCCTGCAGCTGGATGATGGTCGCCGAGGCTTGATCCTTGGACGCCAGTAGGATCAACCACATGTACCTGCTTCGATCATCCACAACAAGCAGGAACAAACATTTGCCGCCGGGTGTCGACGGCGTGATTGGACCGCACAAATCCGCGTGAACAAGCTCCAGGGATCTTGATGCGCGGAACTTGCTCGCCACTGGGAATGGTTGCCGACGCTGCTTCCCAGCGAGGCAGCTCTCACACACCTGCTCGACGTGGTCGATTTGAGGTAGACCGCGCACCATCTTCTTCTTGGCCAGCAGCTTCAGTCCATGGAATCCGAGGTGCCCGTACCTCGTATGCCATTTCCAGGACGTGTCATCCGCGTGCGCCGTGAGGCACACCGGAGCACTGATGTGGACGTCGAGGAAGTAGAGGCGGTTCGCCGCTCGCTGCACCTTCACCAGGAGTCGACGCTGCTGATCCCAGACGCGCAGAACGCCGTCCTCGATCAGTACCTTGTACTTGTCCTCATCAAGCTGCCCGAGGCTGATGATGTTGGCGGTGAGCTTGGGGATGTAGTAGGCTCCTCCGAGCCTCTGATGCTCCCCGGTCTTGCAGCTGAAGAGGATGGTGCCGCGCCCTTGAATGTCCACCACGGACCCGTCGCCAAACCGTACAGTGCCGTGCACGCCGGTGTCGAGCTCGGAGAAGGCCGAGCGCACGCCGATCATATGGTTCGTCGTGCCCGTGTCGAGGATCCAGCGCGTCTTGTCATCAGCGCACTTCTCCCCGAGTTGGACGAAGAGCTTGTCCTCCTGGATGTGGACCTGCTCATCGGCGGCATGCAGGGTCGGTGAAGCCAACGCCACGTGCGCTGTGGTGTCTGCCGTGTACACGTCGGAGAAGACCCAGCGCGTCCTTGCGCTCCCGTCGCCCACTGGAACGTGCTCCACGTCCACCTGGGTGTCCGCCGGATCGATGGAGACCTCCGCGATCCCCACCATCAGCGCCGCCTCCGCCTCTCGCCTTCGGCGGCGGCATGGGCTTACTCATCCGCTTCTTCTTGCGGCACTCGCGAGCCCAATGCCCCGTCTTGCCGCAGTACGCGCACTCATCCCCGGCGAGCTTCTTCTTCTTACCGTTGTCACTCCCACCGGCAGGTGGTTTGGAACCGCCACGGCTTCCTCCGGCTTGGGCAGTACTGCCGCCGCGGCCACGCCGTTGGCCGGCGGGTGAGGACCGCCGGCCTCCAGACCCGCCACCGGATCCAGCTCCACCGGAAAGTTGAAGGTGCGACATGACGCGATCCACCAGCTCGTCCTCCGTCAGGTTCAGCCGCGCCGTGGATGACCCGGTGTTGCCACCGAGATCATAGCGTTCCTCGGCCGCCTTGAGCCTCCCAACCAGCTCGTCCACCGAGAGCGTCTCCAGATCAAGCAGAGTTTCAATTGCCATAACAATTTGGGAGTACCTCGCCGGTGTCGCCTGAAGGAACTTGCGGACGATCTCTGGCTCGGTGAACCCAGCCTCCAGGACCTCAAGCTGATTGCCTATGTCGGTGATGCGAATGGCGAATTCGTCCACCGACTCCGCGTCCTTGAACCGCAGGGCCTCGAATTCCCGTCGAAGCGTGTTCGCCTTCGCCTGACGGACGCGATCCACCCCGAGATGGATCTTCTTCAGCGAATCCCACGCCGCCTTGGCCGTGGGCTTCCTGGCCACGTTGCCGTGCAGCTCCTCGGGGACGCCCATGGCGATGACCTCCAACGCGTTCCTGTCGTCGTCGAAGTCGTCCGTCCCGACGTTCACCGCCGTCCACAGGCGCCGCGCCTGGAGCTTCAGCTTCATGAGCGCCGCCCATGAGTAGTAGTTCGTCTTGGTGAGAAGGGGGAACTTGTTCTTCCCGGTCTCCTCACGCACGACCCGGCTGATCACCGGATCGCGAGTACCACCCGCACCGCCGCCGCCGGAGCCGCTTCCCCGACGCGGCGACGACGACCGATTCCTCCGCCGATCCATGAATGCCGCAGCGATAGCGCGGTCGCGCGTCCACCGCCGGAACCTCGCTCCGATACCAGATGAAGTCTTCGGCTCGCTGGGGCCCGCCGCCAGAGGCGAGGAAGACGACCCTGAATCGATGAAACGGTTACT